TGGGAAAACATTGCTCCCTCGTGTTAGATTGTGATTGTCATGCACTAGTCTTCATAAATACGAGTTCTACTGTTATCTAGAGGCGGTCTTTGAATCATTATTGAAGGCATTGAAATCAGGTCAAATTAGCAGGACATGACATGATTTTCTTCCACCGTATGTACTTTATGTGTGGGAAAACACTGCTTCTCGTGTTAGATTGTGATTGTCATGCACTAGTCTTCATAAATACGAGTTCTACTGTTATCTAGAGGCGATCTTTGAATAATTATTTGAACAATTGATGCCTAATCTATAGAGTTAAATTACTAGTTTTGGTTTGATTTAGGGAAGAGCATTTTTAGGAGTTACTTAAGTCTGTAAGGAAGAGCATTTCAAGAATACCTGATTTTTCTGAATTCAGAACAGAAGGTGAGTTCTATATATGTCTAAATGTAATATGAGGGGGCCCTTCATCCTGAGCATAGAAGCTCCTATTGGAGTCATTGTGAGAGATCCTAGGGGATTAGTGGTGCGAGGACAGGTGCTATTTTTATTCAGTCTTCTTCTACTCTTCTGATTGATGCTTTTGAAACTAGCTAGGATTGAAGAAGGCATAAAGAGAAAACCACACCAACAATATAGCAAAGACTAATTCTAAATTGGTAGTTGAAATTGGAGATTAAATTCTGCACTTGTGACTAAGAGTACAAATAATTTTATCATTGGATTGTTGATTCCAGCACATTACAAAGGTTGCCAATGGAGTTATTCACTGGTAAAAAAAAACAAAAAACAAAAATAAAAACAAAAATAATAAAACAAAACGAAAGGAGATGCTCATTTGATTGCTTTGACATACCGTAAGGGGATGTGCACTGTCTCTTGGATTCCTAGGTAGGGGTGGCCAAAACCGGTTTCGGTTAAAATCGAAATCGGTTTTAAAATAACCAAAAAAAATTTTCTTCAATTTTGAGAACCAAAATCGAATCGAAATTTTTACAAATCAATTAATTTGGTTATCAATAAAATTGGTTTAGTTTTGATTTTTGATAAATAAATATTAATCAATTATTTTTCTAATAATAGATTATATTTTATTACATATTTTATCATATTTATCTTAATTTTGATTTTTAAGGGACTTATTTTTTATTTTTGGTTTTAAAAAGATTCAATCAAAATCAAACCAAAGTTTATTTGGATAACATCAAAACAAAAAAATAAAAACCAAAAACCATTAAAACCAAAATCCATTAAAACCAAATAAATTCATTTTTTCGATTTAATTTTCAAATAACCCATCAATTCGATTTTAAATGCCCAGCCCTAGGGGTGGGCATTGCTCACCACGCTATGCCAACCACATTGTCATGTTATGTGTCAAGTCAGTAACATGGCACAATGATAAGCATGATGATTTTTAGTCACAATTAGTAATTATTAATTTATCTTGACATATTAATAACAAGGGAAGCCCATTAATGAAACCAACCTATCGGATTTATTGATTCATTCTCTATGCTTAAGTGTTTAGACTGAAATAGATCAAGAATTCTACTCTCACTTACTAATTGAAAAAAATATTTCTCCCCCCCCTTAAATTTCCTATGTTCAAAAAAAAAAAAAAGGTCCATTAATATCTTTTTTAAAAAAATATTTTTGAAGTTAATTAAAATCTAAAAGCATATAATTACATTTTTAAGGTAAAGGACTTAAATTTAAAGTTATTTCATTCAATTTATGACCTACCAATTTCGCTTGAGAATTTTTATTGC